CTTGCCTTTGAAGGATTCTAACTTGAGCTTCGGAGCCCTTACGCCGGGTTTTCCCCGGAGCATCTCGTCTCCTCCCGTTTCAGGTCCCGGTTACTCAGTTCAGAGGCAAGATCATCGACAGCTAAGACCGACCAGATTGTGCATCATCAAGAGGCATTGATGATTTTTGGTTTGTTTCTATTGGACCAGACTGTTAATGTCTGAAATGCTTTATTTTTACTATTTTATCCCTAAAATAGATTATTTGTTAAATTTGAGTTCTATTTGTACTATTTCATAAAAAATAATTTACCAAATTCAAAATAATATTAAAATCATATAAAATAAATAATAATTAATAAAAACATAATTAAATTAATAAAAATAATTAATCACTATAAAAAATAATAAAATTATTAAAATATAATAAAAATTGAAATAATTAATAAAAATTAGTGGTAACTAATTAATAATTAATAATATTGAACTAACACGAATAAAAAATAATTGAATACAGAATTACTAAAAATAATTAATAAATAATAAATAACATAATTAAATTAATAAAAATAATTAATAACTATTAAAAATAATAAAATGATTAAAATTTAATAAAAATTAATGGTTACTAATTAATAGTTAATAGTATCATGAATGAAACATAAGTAAGTACATAATAATTACTAAAAATAATTAATAAGTAATAAATAACATAATTAAATTAATAACTATTAAAAAATAATAAAATGATTAAAATTTAATGAAAATTAAAGTAATCAATACAAATTAATGGTTACTAACATAATTAATTAATAAAGAATAAGATATTTAATAATTAATTTAATTAAATAATATAAGAATTTAAAGAATTTAAAATAAATTATTAAAATATAAAATAATATAATTAATTAAAAAATCTTCAATGACAAATACAAACAAAAAATGATAAAAATTTTAAAATTTACCCAACATTTACTACAAAACATAAGTTTTCACATAATAAAGTGATGGTCATGATCTACATGCACGTATGTCATACATATAATTATCCCAATCATTGTCATTTGTTCATATGTCCCATCACCACCCTATGCAACTGCTACAACAATAATAAAAAAAAGTTTGTTCACCTACATAACTATAACAGTTCACTACAAAAGTAGTTATAGTAATAAAATAGTACACAACTATGCTTAAAATTAAACTTCAATGCATGTTCCTATTTACTAATTCTTGTGCAATTTCCTCACAATGAGGCTATAAACTGTGTATCAGCTTGCCCATGAAGTGTCTCTCCCTCGACATGCTCTTTTGTCTCTATTTCCTCTACATTTCCATTAGGCACTTGCACATCAGGTTCACCATAGTATTGATTCCCTTTTTAGATAATTGTGGATAGCGAACCATGCAATGACTATGTCTCATTGGACATGGAGATTAAAAGATGTTATCCGTTTAAGAATTGGAAATCGAGCTTTTAAGACACCAAACGATCTCTCAATTACATTTCTCAGCTTTGCATGTGTTTGGTTGAATCGTTCTTCTTTAGTCCTAGCACGCACACGTCAAAAGTTTGCTGCCCAATATTGTACATTTCGATAGGGTGCAGTGTTTTGTATTAGCATATACAGCATCACATAGGTAGTACTTGTCTGTCGTCAATCAAATGTATCTATCAAAAAATGAATTCACCAAAAAATAATGAACACCCCTAGAACATCATTCTTACCAACAGGTGGAAATGGAAGGTTGTTGGCAAGGTTGTATGCAACCTTGTGTAAAACCCTAGTGTCATGTGTTGTTTCTTCCCAACCGGCATAAACATATGTGAACACCATGTTAAAATCACAAACAGCTAGCACATTTTGGAAACATTATTTCCCTCATCTTCCTCGATATGCTAGTTGTTTCTCCAGTGGTACCACAACATGTACAAGTGTGCCATCTAAAGCACCAACAACACCCTTCAACAATAAATGAAAACAAACAAATAAAACTCGTTTTGAGATCAACCCCTATAAAAATATTATGAAATCTATGTGACATTTTCAATTAGTTACCTTGAATACTTGTTGAAGTCGTTTGTGGTGCCCTGGGTAGTTTGGGTTTCGGTCAAATGTAATTGGGAAGATCATCTCTTGTGCAAATTCCATCATAGCATCCAACACTTGATGGAAGTATCTATGCACTGTTTGAGTGGAGTGCTGGAACCATCTCTTCAAAATGGAGAACCTTTCATTATGACTCAAACACAAAAGAAACATAGCCATCTTCTCCTCCACTAATATGTATCGGCTATCATGTAACCATCCACGATTTCGAAAATGGCCACATATCCGTACATATGCTTCAACAGGCATCCTCATAACCTCAATGGTTTGGGTATCATTTCCATTTAATAGTTCTTGTGTATACATATAACCGGGTAGTGAAGATTCACAATCCGGCATCCTTGGAATACTCCTCCATCAAGTTTTTTTTATATACCAATATAGGAGGATAATTATACCCAACCTCTTCATCATAGGTGCCAACATATTTATTGGTTACCTGATAGACATCATTCTACATTGAGATTAATCTAAAAGCAAATATTCAAGCATGACAAAGAGAAATATGAAAATATCAACTATGCCAAGTCACCGAGTGTCATACAATAATATTATCTATACATTTCCAAAATATCCAAAAAAAAAAACATATTGCATATGTTCATCCACAAGTATCCATAAAAGTATCCAAAAATATATCCACCCATAACTATCCAAAAATATGTTCACCCATAAGTATCCATAAAAATCTCCAAAAACTATCCAAAAATATGTCCACCCATAACTATCCAAAAAATATCCAAAACTATCCAAATATCCAAAAATTATGTCGAGTCATCCTACGAGATGTTCATCCTCCTAGCCCACAATGCACCTTTTCACCTCCTCCTCGTTGGGTGTGTCACATGTTCCACACCAACGGATCCACTCCTTCCTAGCCTTCGAGTTTTCTGCAAAGACAATAGAAGCCTCAAAGTATAGAGGAGTTCTAGCTGTCCATCCAATTTCATGAAGTTTCTGCATGCAATCTTCTACAGTTGGGCCTCCATCCTCAGCAATCAGGATGTCAAGAAGCCTCTTCATCTTGTTATCAATATCACTAGTGCCCTTCCTGTAGACTCTTCAAATGTTTGTTGTGTTTGAGTCTGGGGCCTTGTGGGTGGTGTGATAGGCGTGTCGTCAAGCTCAATAGGACCACCCATTGGGGTCTCACCCTCTAATTCAGGTGGAGAAGCATCTGGCATACTGGTAGAGCCCAATGGTCTTGGCCTATTTGCCACTGGAGTCCAGCCAACTTCTCCAGTTGCACAAGCTTCATTGAACAACAATTTGCATTCATCAGCAAACTACAGCCCCGCATACCTTAATACTTTTGCATTTGGATATGCCTATTGCCATGTAAACAAACATTCCACTCTATTAGACCCTATACACAAAGATATACCCAACAACAAAATAGCAGACTAGTTATCTTTAGGAAATCTTCCCATTGCTCATCGGTCCAGTCCACTGTACCCGCAATTGGGTTGTATCCATTACCCGTCCTATTAATTAGTCTAACTCACAGTTGATATTTTCTCTTCAAGTAGTCAAACCCATTTTTAGTTGTTTCTGTGAAAAGTTCTTTTGAATCCCTTCATGTAATTTCGTTTGTATCCGTGTCCATGAATCCTTCCTTAATGAACCCCCTTGCCTTCCATAGGTAGTCACCTCGTCAATACAGAGGTCCAACAAGAGCTTTTATAAGGTTGGCTCCTTCCAATACGCCTTGTCGTAGTTATCCCCCAAAGCCATTCCTAAAGTCCCTATAAACATTATTGCACAAAGAAAAAAATATAAACATTCACAAGTAGAGTGATACACCTATAAACATTATTGCACAAACAACACTAAAATTTCTAATGATACACCTTCACAAAAATGTTTTCTATAGGAGTTTATTGGTTTCGGTCTTCCCTTCACAAAAATGTTTATCAAAATTCCTGTTGAAGAACAAACAACACTTTAACTAGGTCCTAGTCTTGATTTATTAGTAGGCTGTTCTTTCTCTTGGAAAATTTCCCACTCAGTGAGGTTGATTGCAGACTGTTTTTTTTTTTTCAGTAATTTGTCTTGATCCAATGGTCCTGTAATTTCTCCAGTTGCCAATTCAGGGGAGTTAAGATACCTTAGCTCCTCTTCTTTGTAAGTTTACTACTATTTAATGAAATATGTGGTTATTGATCAAAAAAAAATCTTGCTACAGTGATGGCTGTGGAGGATGCAAAATGTATCTGGACTTGAGCTTTTTTGGGAAAAGGTAACTACTGAGACCATTGTTGTTGGGGTTACACCTCAGAAAGAATACTTCAAAGGGTCTGAGATAAGCTTTGAACTGAGAACATAGGTTGCAAGTCTGGGAAGGCCTCTCTGTTCTGTTGTTTACTGGTTTTGACAGAAGCTGATATTTGATGTTAACCACTCATTTCCCAGTGCATAACTTATGAAAAAAAGATCAGAAATAACTATTTTCTGCATAATACATGGTGATTTCTGAATTATGAAAATCATTACAGCCTATTCCTTCTAGGTACCGAACTAAAACAGTAGATAAGAGAAAATACTCAATAAACATATCCAATAACCAAGGTTTGCCATATGAAGAACAGAAAAAAGAGCAAGAATAGTTGTCCAGGGAAAATAGGTAGCAACTAGCAACCTAAGCAATAAATCAACTGAAAAAAATGAATTATAACTGAAAAGAGCAAGAATAGTTGTCCACATATTTCAGTAATTTGTCTTGATCCAATGGTCCTGTAATTAAAGAAATGGCAATTGTACTAGCTGATGTTCATTGATATTTTGAAACTTGACTAAAAGTTTATGGAGGAAGGTCTTTCCTTTCTGTCTGTCCCAAAACTCCTCTCATGCCACCAAAACTACACTGTGAAGTGTGAAGTTTAAACCCCCCAACCCCCTTAAACAAATTCTGAAGAAGCTGCCAGAACTCAACAGAGGTTATGCTGATGATAAAGCTACTTGTTTGGCTTGTATTGGTTGGTCACCATGGAGGACTCCTGGTTTGTTTGTGTTTACTACTTTATGCTATCTAAAGTAACAAGGGAATAAACATTGGCTTTTGATGCCATTAGATAATTTACACCCTGCACAAGTTGGGGCCAAAGAGAGATAGACAGAAAGAGAGACCCACTCGCCCTCGAATTGGAAATATGGATTAATTCTATAATGTTAAAGCAAATTAATTAGCAGTTAATACTTCTTTTCCATGTCTTCCTTTATAAATAGCAACCACTGTGTCAATGGAGATTAATTTGAGATAGACGCAGTCAAGTCACACACACACGACAAAGAGAGAGAGACAGAGACAGAGATAGATGGGTGCTGGGTGTTCGAAGAAACATAGACGTGGTACTACTTGTCATCACCATTGCTTTTACTTCTATTCTCCACCATTAAACCTTTAAATTATTTGGGCAAACGTCCCTGCATCATAAACCTTGAAATTAAAGGGCAGGCGGACCAAGTCCAGAAAAATCATCACCACATGTAAAGGTGGAATTACTTCATTGGAAAATCTATTCACTAAAACATTCTACATTGCCCAAATGTCGAAAGAGAAACAAACTAAACGACTATTCCAAAAAATTGATAATCAAAACACGTAAACAAGGCTCTTTCAAGAAATTTAAAACCCTACAACAAAACCTCACCGAATTCATACTTCCCCAAGTATTCAGAATAAAAAAAAAAAAGGAAGAAAAGAAAACCAACTTCCTACATCAATTATCTTATAGCAAAACAAGAAGATTTGGCATTTAAGCAAATTTTGAAAAATAAATACCCACAGAAATAAACCCAACCTTGTTATCATCATCACTACACCCAATAACAACGAACCTAAATGAAACAAACCCTCATGAAAAGTAGTGCTAAAATTCCAAAAATCGAAATAAAGATACCTTCGATGAAGAAAGAAGGAACGAAATGGTAGGCACCTGTAACCCTGAAACAATAAAGGTTTTTAGTTAACAAAAAAGGTTTTTGCTTTCACAAGAGCAGAGAGTTTCATGGGTTTGGGGGGTTTTTGCGTCTGGTAGGGTTGTCTTGGGTTTGGGGGGCGCCAGGGGTAAGCGCGTCATTCTAAAAAAATATAGAGGATATTTTCGAAATTTTCATGGCTCTTAAACACGTCTGAGCGCGTTAAGAGCCTCCTATTCCGATTAAACTTTCAGGTCTGAAAAGAGGCATTCGAATCTAATTTCAAAGCTTGCACCAAACACGAGAGGTCTAGGATTTTATAGGGTTCACTACATGCCAACCTTTGATGGATTGACCTAAACTGACCCTATAATATTTTAATCTATAGAACTTTAACTCACACGTGTGACTGTAGCTATTATTTCTTTTACAATCCCAATCTAGGTATTTAAACAAAAAAAAAATCACAATAAGGTTTTGTTATATGTTCTAAGATTCAATTTATACCAAGATTTTTAAAACCGAATTGGACAACAAACCAGTTAGGGGTCCGGTTTCTAGGTCGAACGATCCGACCATTCGAACCGAACGGACAATCCGTTTTAATAAAAAAGGTAAAAAATATAAAAAATGTTCAAAATCGTTGAATGGTTCGAATGGTTCAATCAGTTGGGTCAGCGATTTATTGACCAAATCAATGTTTTTTGGCAAAATTCCAATTTTGAGGAAAAACAAAACCAATCATCTGACCAGTTCCTAGTTTTTCTGGTTCGACTGTCTGGTCCGATTTGGTTTTGAAAACCATGAATGGAAGAGAAGGTTGTGATATGAACCATAAAGCCTAGATGCCTTGATTCTTTGCAAAGAGGCAGGTTTTGAAAATCAATGTTTTCGAACCGTCGTTGACCCAGACGATCGGACCGTTCGGCCCGAAAACTATCCAAGCAATTGATTCTGTTTTACCTCTAACCCGCTCTTGGGTAAAAAACCGTTGACTCTGTCAGAAAACCGCTGACCCGAGCGGTCGAACCATTGACTTGTTTGACCCAGACATTGGTTCATAGTTTTAAAAGGTTGCAAAGAAGAAAAACAGAGGACCTCAGATCTGAGATCCAGGAGAGAAGAAGAAAAAGAATAAGAAGGAGGAGGAGGAGGAGAAGAAGAAGAAACTCGTCGTCGCCGTCGCCATTATCGTCGCTAGTGAGCATCAAACTATCCTCCTCCGATTCCTTCTTCTTCACTCCTCCCTCTTCTTCCCTCCTTCCTTCCTTCATTTCCTTTCTTTTCTTTTCTTTTTTTTTTCTTTCTCCTTATTTCTTTCTTTAAACGTTCTTTTTTTCTTTCTCAGCCGACATCAGTCTATCAATCTCTTCTCCATTCTCCTTTCTCATATCAACATAAATATGTATTGCCTTAAAACAAAGTTGCAAACGGTCTGAACTATTCGATCTGGACAGTCAAACTGCTGACCCGAAAACCGGTAACTAGAATGATTCTATTTTCGGATCAGTTTTTAAAACCTTGTTGAAAATATGAAGGTTGTTTATAGAACTTTAGTTTTTAGCACGTTTTGACAATATTGAAATGTAATGCATTAGGTGGCATAAGTTTGTGCATCAATATTATCTTGTAAATTGGAATCCCATGGTGCGTTAGCAATACTTAGTTAATGCATTAATGTTATTTTGTAAGTTGCAACTTGCTCACACATTTATTGCATGGTTATATAAAAGTGTTGAGTAATTAGACCCAGCCGCTAGCGTAGCTTATCCATTATATGCTTGGGGAAAACCAATCTTAGACACCACCACGGAGCTAAATGCGACGAACGTTTCACATAACACGAATTCCGCATGGGCCTTGGAGACACCATAAAGGCCATCTTTACTTTGCCCTATGCGACCATTGGTCCCATATAGTGCAGATTCCACAAGGGTCCTAGAGACATTATGGAGGCCATCTTTACTTCGTTTTATGTGATTAGAGGTTCCACATAGCGTAGATTCCACAAATGCCCCAAAGACACCATAGAAGCCATATTTACTTAGCCCTATGTGGTTGGAAGTCCTATATAGTGCAGAATTCCACAAGGGCCCTGGAGATACCACCATAGAGGCAAATCTCTACATGAGCCCTATACGGCCGGAGGTCCTACACAATGCAGAATTCCATAGGAACCCTAGAGACACCAGAAAAGCAAATCTCAACATGAGCCCTATATAGCCAGAGGTCCTATATAGTATAAAATTCTATAGGCCTTAGAGACACTACAAGAGCATACCCATTTCTTAATAGAATTATATGCAGCTACATACATTACTCCTGAGAAAGAATGCTTATTCCTCAGAAGGATATACATTATTCCTCAATTTATTGTGTAAAATGATTCAACATAACCTTGGTCTCACTCAAGTCTTAATCACAACAAACAAGCATCCTCACAATGAGACGTAATAAATCATAATCAGGCTTCAAACACTAGCATCCCACAATTTGGCCAGTCAGCGGAGTAACCCATGCTGCGATGACATGTCACTTAAGTACTAGAACGTAGAAAAACATAAGTCTACAATGCTTTATATAAGTGCCAAAGCGTTGTAACCATGATACACTACTAAGCTTGTGCTCACATGCAAACCCTGAGGAGAAGGGTGAGAACCCAAACCCTGTAACCTCCACAGTGGCACATGACAAAACCCTACTTATGACCTCTAATTTTTTAAGTTAGAATGGATCATCCATTCGAACCGAACGATCAAACAGCTGACCTAAAAACTAGTGGTCAAAACAATTTGGTTCCGAGTTGGTTTTTAACGCTTAGATAGGGTTAATTAACATCTGATCCGATTATTAATCAGATGCAATTTTTACCATTCAAATATCGGATTCGCAGTCAAATCGAATATCAGACTTTTGGAGTCGCTTGACATCCCTAATAACCAATGCCTTCACAAAAATGCAGCTCTCTCCCATATGAACTAGGATATAGGTTTTATTTAGTGCTAAAGCTGCCTTGACCCATCAGGGCTCGTGTTATCATGTTGGATTTGATATGCACCAAACTTCACCCATTTCCAGAGTGACATCGAACTTCAACCCATGGTTTTCAAAACCGGACCGGACTAGACTGGAAAAACTGAGAATTGGTCAGATGACCGATTTCAGTTTTCTCCAAAACCGAAAATTTGTCCAAAATCATTGATTTTGGTCAGCAAATCGCTAACTTGGGCGGTTAATTATACAAACTGTTTAAACGGTTTTGACCATTTTTTTATTTTTTGTTAGAACAGATTGATCATTCAGGTTGAATGATCGCCAAACCCCTGACTGGTTTGATCTCCAGGCCGTTTTTAAAAACCTTGCTTCAACCAATTGACGTTCTGCATTAAAATACGAATCTATGACATTCACGCATTATAATGTACATGAGTATAGGTAAAAAATATTATGCTTCCGTATTCGAGTTAGGCTGGATTTTCAGTTAATCTTTTTGCAAACACAAGGGATTAAGAGTTGTCATATCTAGGGATTTCAATGGATCGGATTAATTTGTAAATCATATTAATCCGGTCCTTTCAGGCTGAATTCGAATCAATTTTCATTCAGTTCCGGTCGATCCATTAGTGCCATGTCCGACTAGCGGGAATGGGTCAAAACAAGTAAATAAGTATCCTATCTACCTCACAACAACTTAAGTCGTTGTAGTATAGTGGTGAGTATTCCCGCCTGTCACGCGGGTGACCCGGGTTCGATCCCCGGCAACGGCGTATTTTAGCTTTTTTTTTTTTCAATAAAAAGAATCATCATATTATAGCTTTTACTATTTTTATTACATTTTATTAGTTTTGTTACTATTAAATGCAATGCACAAGCATTGTTAAGTGACATTTATACAAGAGTCTTAGAACATTTGTAATTGGGCAAAGTGAACCCTATCCATCTTAGCATTATTCTTGAGTCATGTATTGTCAATAAATAAAAAAAAACAAAACAAAACTCTAGAAGGGATTAGGGAGAGTTGTTACCATTTTCTATTAAGTTAAATTTCAAAATAATAAAATAATTTTTCCTAAGTCTAGTAAAATTTTTTTATTGTTTATTATTCTGTTAATTTTTTATTAGTAATTGAAATTTTAAATTTTTATAAATTTTGTAAAATCAATTTTACTATGGAGTAAGTTAATAAAGCTAAGTTTTTTAATATATTTTAATTATTAATTACTTAATAAGTTAATCATGTAAAGTAAGTTGTTGATTTTTAATTTTCCCTTATTTTTACTTTTCAATTACTTCCTCATTTTTAATATTTTATTGATAAATATTACTTTTAATATGTAAAAGATTTCCGTTATTTTTAGTGAAAAATTCTCTTATTTTATTAGTTCATTAAAAATTAAGTTTCTACTTTTGTTATTTTTTGATATTTTTTTAGAAAATTACCCTTATTTTATCATTTTTCTATCTATTAACAAAATTTTTAATAATTTTTCAGTTTATCTTCCCTTATTTTTTCTGAATTTTCTATTAGTTTATAATTAAAATTTTATTTTTTAGTAAAATATTCTCATATTTGATCTTTTTGTTTTCAATATTACATAATTGGGTCGAACCAATAAAACCAGATCCATGTATGAATTGGTAATTGAAGCTGGCTAGTGGAAAATTTTTGGGTATTCAAATTACCCGATCGTACTCCTTTTATTTTGAAATTGCATTACTAAGTCAAATTGATCAAACTTTATTGGCCCAGTTTGGTATGAATTGGTAATCGAAGCTAGCGGGTTGAATAGTTTTCAAGTATTCAAATAACCCAACATATGGACTTTATCTTTATATGCATAACAACTTTTAGGCTCCTGGTTCATTCTTATTATTCTGGAAAACTGACAAAATTAGGGAAACAACTTAGATCAAAGGGTGTTCACGGGTCTTTTTTTTGGATCGAACTGGTAGTATTGGTTTTTGGAAAATCGGTAACTGGTAATCGGAATCAAATCAAACCAATCGGTTTGATTAATTGATGGTTCGGTTCATCGGTTTTTTTACTTTATAATATTTATTATAAAAATATATATAATATTATAATTGTTTTTCTATTTTTAATTAATGTTTAATATTTTATTACTTTACTTTTATTATTTGTCTTATTGTCTTATTAATTTTTTTCTCTGATTTTAGATATCTTTACTCATATTATTTCAATATTTAAGTTTTGATTTAAACATTAATATTTTCATTTATTGATGAAAAATTAAATGTATATATATGGAAGGTGTAGAGATATGAAGATAGAAAATGATAGATGGGCAGAGCAGAGCAGGGAAAGAGATGTTTTATTGGATACGTGAAACAGATTAGGAGGTCTTTTAGGAGAAGTTTTTGGTGGAGAACATAATTTAGACTTAATTTGGAAGGAGTACAAATATAAATATGTACAATATAAATAGATAGGAAATAATACAAAATACAAAGTTTTGCACTGTACACATTTGAATTCACACAAGTTATACCCCTAAATCTTTTATCTCAAATCATTTTAACAAAGCCCATACATTGCACTAGTCCCTGTTAATATATTTCTATGGCTGAGCTTTCAATTAAGCCGAGGTTCTCGTTAGTACGAAGTATGACTTACACAATAGCAACTTTTGACAAGCTGCTCAAAGAAAGAAAGGAGCATCCTTTTTAACAAAGCCCGTACATTGCACTAGTCCCTGTTAATATATTTCTATGGCTGAGCTTTCAATTAAGCCGAGGTTCTCGTTAGTACGAAGTATGACTTACACAATAGCAACTTTTGACAAGCTGCTCAAAGAAAGGAGCATCCTTTGTAAGTAGCTCAACAAAACCTGAAGCTCCCAAACGGGCCTATATAGGCAATGTTTTCAACCCATCGTTTGAACCAGTCTGTCAAAAAGTACTCGACCAGGATTCTGGGTCCGGTTCAATCAAGACCCGTCAAATGGTAAAAATCATTGACTATGTCAAGAACCGTTTGACCTGTTCGATTTGACCATTGACCCGTTTGACTCGGTTATCAGATATCTCAATGTATGTAAACTTTTGGAGGCCATAACTTTGCACTTCGATATCTGAATGGAGTGATTTTTTTTTTTATTTTGGGTACCTTTTCAAGAGCTATGTGTTCCAAGGGGCCCTAGGTGCCTTGCTCCATTATTTTCGTAAAAAAAAAACCTTTTTAGCTTCAAATTGCAATTTGTAATGTTTTTATAAATAAAAAGAATTAGAAAACATAAATTAAATATAAAAATATATATAACATATCTAAACTGTTTGACTCGACCAGCTGAACTGGTGACCCACGACCTGGAGGCAAAAATGGTTCGGCCTTAGGTCTAAAAAACAACGACCCGGAAATAGAACCATTTTGGCCACTGGTTTCTAGGTCGATGGTTCGATTGTTTGGTTCAAATTGATGGCCCGTTCTGACAAAAAATAAAAAAAATAAAAAAATTACCAAAAACAATTGAATGGGTTGACGATTCGACCACCCGGATCAATGGATCGTTGACTGATTCAACGGTTTTTGCCAGGGATCGGATTTGGGGTAAAACGAACTGGTTGGCTAGACGGTTCCCGGACCGAACGGTCCGACCGTCCGGTCAACGGCGGTTCGAAAACCATGGTATATAAGCCTTGTGCGGGTGGCCAATCACCGGCGTTGGGACTCGGGACCTGAAGAAGTCGGTGCTCTTTCAGAGTGACGAACGTTGAGACTATCCTTCTGCAACGAACATTCCGGTTAGTTTTTGCTTGATTTCTCCGCTTTATTAATCTCTCTTGCTTTCGTTCTATTTCTCAAAACCTTGGAGGATTTAAGTGAGGTATTACCAGAAAATGGATGAGTACCAGCATATGGAGAGATTTGGAATGGAAAACGATTACGAAGACGGGCAGTGGATTGGTGGAGAATTCTATTACAGGAAGCGCAAGGAGAAGCGACGGCAGACGAATGAAGATGTACTGTACGGAGTTTTCGCGGACAGTGATTCGGATAATGATGATTCGTCCAGGAAGCGGAAGAAAGATTTTTTCTCAAAGTCGGATTTTACGAAGCCGGTGAATTTTGTATCGACTGGTACCGTGATGCCGAACCAGGAGATTGATAAGAACAGTAAAGAAGAGAGGAGCAGAGAAGAGGACGTGGGGGAGGAAGAGGAGGAAGGAAGTGCTGGGTTAGGGCTTAGTTCGAATGTGGGGTCAGGACTAGGTTTTAGGCAAAATTCGACGAAGAAAGATAGTGGTAATGAGAATGATGTGGACGATAATGATGATGATAATTTTCTTCCGACTGCGTTTGGTAGGATTATTAAGGAGGGTGTGCAGCGGCGGGAGAGAGAAAGAGAGAGGTTGAAGTTGGCTCAGAAACCTCAGGGAAGAAGAAGGGAATCAGAATTTGGTGATGTTGGGCAGTTTGAGAAGTATACGAAGGGGATAGGGATGAAATTGCTTGAGAAAATGGGGTACAAGGGAGGTGGATTGGGTAAGAATGAACAAGGTATTGTTACTCCGGTTGAAGCCAAGTTGCGGCCGAAGAACATGGGAATGGGTTTTAATGATTACAAGGAGGCAAGTTTACCTGTTGTAGAGGAAGTGGAAGAGAAAAAACCTTCATCTGGAATAACTCGGCCTACTGGACGGGCAAAAGAGAAACTTTGGTCAAGGCAAAGTCGGGGAAAGAAAAAGGATTATATCACAGCTGAGGAATTGCTTGCGAAGAAGCAGGAGCAGGGTCTGGAAGTTGTTCAGAAGGTTCTAGATATGAGGGGACCGCAGGTACGGGTTTTGACGAACTTGGAGAATTTGAATGCTGAAGAGAGGGCAAAGGAAGAGGACACACCAATGCCCGAGCTTCAACATAATATAAGACTGATAGTAGACTTGGCCGAGCTTGATATTCAGAAATTGGACAGGGATTTGAGGAATGAGAGGGAGACAGTGGCGACTTTGCAGAAAGAGAAAGAGAAGCTTCAAAAGGAGGCATCTCGGCAGAAGAAACAGCTGGATAGCATGGAAGACATAGTTGAGGTGCTGGAGCGAATAGGTGTGGAAAACTCGTCAGGGACATTGACACTGGATTCACTTGCAGAGGTCTTTTATGACTTACAGAAGAGATGTGCTGATGATTACAAGCTCTGCAACTTGTCTTGCATTGCATGCTCATTTGCGTTGCCTTTGCTGATTAGAGTGTTCCAAGGATGGGATCCGCTTCAGAGTCCATTGCATGGGTTGGAGGTGATGTCTTCATGGAAGAGTCTATTGCAAGGAAATGATTCTCTTGATTTCTCAGATCCAACATTACCCTATGTCCAGTTGGTCATGGAGGTTATTTTTCCTTCTGTGAGGATATCTGGGACTAATACCTGGAGAGCCAGAGATCCTGAACCAATGCTTCGATTTCTAGAATCATGGGAGAACCTATTGCCTCCCCTAGTTCTTCAGACCATTTTAGACACTGTGGTTATGCCAAAACTAACAGATGCTGTAGAGTCATGGGACCCTCGTCAGGAGACTGTCTCTATCCATGTATGGGTGCATCCATGGTTACCATTATTGGGACAGAAACTGGAGACTCTGCATCATACAATAAGATTCAAATTGGGAAGTGTTCTTCATGCTTGGCATCCAAGTGATGCATCTGCTCTCACAGTACTATCTCCTTGGAGGACCGTGTTTGATCCTGCCAGTTGGGAACAGCTTATTGTTCGATATATAGTTCCAAAACTGGTGAATGTACTGCAGGAATTTGAAGTAAACCCTGCAAATCAGAAACTCGAGCCATTCCATTGGGTCATTGCTTGGAGACATGCTATTCCAATTCATCATATGGTTACTATGTTGGAGGTGGGTTTCTTCACCAAGTGGCAGCAGGTTTTATACCACTGGTTATGTTCAAACCCAAGGTTCGATGAAATTGAGAAATGGTATTTAGGTTGGAAAGAACTTTTTCCAAAAGAGCTGTGGGAAAATGAGCGTATATGGTATCAGTTCAAGGTAGGGCTTGACATGGTTAACCAGGCTGTTGAAGGTATGGAGGTGGTGCAACCTGGGGTTAGGGAGAAAATGAGCTACCTTAGGGTGACAGAACAAAGGCAATTTGAGGCGCAACAGAAAGCAGCAGCCCATGCTCAGCAGCAAGGAATAAATGCTGTTCCTGAGTTGAGCTTAAAGGAAGTTATTGAAACTTATGCACAGCAACATGGATTACTGTTTAAACCTAAGCCTGGTAGACTATACAACGGTCTTCAAATTTATGGCTTTGGTAATGTGAGCATTTATATGGAATCCTTAAATCAAAAGATCTTTGCTCATACAGAAGAAGGATGGTCGTTGGTTACACTAGAGAAGTTGCTGGAGATGAATCTTAGTTCTGGCCAGAGACGACATTGAGTTTTGTAGTACATAGTTTGTTTTCAATGACTTGTAAAACTGCTAACTCAAGGTTTCTTTGTCCTTGAATTCAAATTTGGTGATACATTTAAGCATAGTTGTCAAGGCAATGCCTAGGCCGGCGCCTAGGCAACAAGGCGCCCTTGGAGTCTCGCCTCGCCTAATCGCCAAGCAGTTTTCTATAGTGTGTTATAACAGACTTTTATATTCTTAATTTTCGAGGTTATAATTATAAAAAAGACAATTTTAAACTAAAACATTCATTTTGCGTGTTTATGTACTAATTTCTTTTTGTTATTTTCTTATTTGTTAGGGTTTAATCAACACAAACATTGCTAAATGCTGTATTGAACCCTCAAAGACTTCAAAACCTGAACCAATAAGTAAGAAAGAACATAAAATGTTGTCCAATCAACACATTTTCTTCTTTTTCTTTACTAATTATGTGTTTTTATATACTAATTTCTTCTTCTTCTTCTTCCACCTTTTCTTTTCTTCTTTTTCTATAACAGAAATAGGTTTATGGAAGTGAAGCAAAGACAGGGATTGGGTTTGTGAGGGTGTTTGAGAAGGTTTGGCACAAACCACTTGGACATCTCATGGTATATACAAGTTACTAGAAGTGACCCATGTGATGCACAGCCTAGTGCAATGTAACTTGTAGAAAATCACTGAAATATCTTGAGGGTCCCTTGCTAGAAAAGGAATAAACCTTTAAGTCATACTTGTACCAGAGGTCTACAAAATGAAAATAAAAATATTATACCAGTTATACTTGTACCACTATCAAATCACCTAAAATTGCATTGAAGGAGAGCAAAGCTGCATTTGGCATTCATTATTTTAAGGACTTATCTCCTTTTTTCTGTTAAAAACTCGGTGTTCATGGGGGCATTTTAACTGCAAAAAGGAGATAAGTACTTAAAATAACGAATGCCAAATGCAGCCCAAGTGTCCAGAGCAATGAAGAGGCAGTTAACCTGAGTCTCCTTAGTCAAATTTCTCAGCTCAATACTTGGTGATCTTTTGCTTCAGCATGCAATTTACATCATTGATTCCGGCACACTACCATACAAATCAGGCATAACAGAATTTTATCACACAAGAATAACACCTGATAAAGACTTTCTCCTCTTATCCAATAGCATTGTTTTTTTTATCACTTTTTTAATACTGTTTCTTAACCTATAGAACTATTACCTTTTAATATAAACACATCCATATTTGAATGGGGGAGGGCTCCATTGAAAGAATAAATGATACGGTAATACTGTTTTTGTACAGCTTTGAGGGTTCTCACCCTCCATGGTAATACAATTAAATTTCCACTTATCAAAAAGGGAAAAAAAAGAAGAATGTGATGTAGGGCAATGAGAGGTCGGCTTCTGTTCTCACAGACCTCTAAAATCTGTATTATGGAGAACGTTTAACATTCTATAGCATAGAAATGACATTATTTGAATATTCAGTGAACTTCAAGGGTTGTTATACTGCTGGTGATTTTCAGATTAAAATATTCTTTGTAAATTGAAGCCATTTTTGGTTGAGAAACAGGTCCATAGCAATAAAACAAGAAAGTTTGTGGCACAAAAAATAATGTACCCCAGGCAAACTTTTTAATTGTGATTCATCCTTGGCCATTCTCTCATATTTGATGTTCAAGCCGAACTAGGGCTTCTTTCAACAGTCTTGAGTAACTCTGTGTGTGTGTGTGTTTATTAACCATGAAAATGATGAGTTAAAGAGAGGAATGGATTTTTTGGACCTCTCTGTTTTCAAATTTTCATGATTGAACAATTAATTATATGTAGCTTTTTGGGTTTTCTCCATGCTGTTTAGGTATTTTCCCATTTCACTCTATTTTGATTGTCTCCATTAATGTAATCTATTTGTTCCCAGAGTAGCTTGAAACTCCATGGCTCAAAATGAAAAATGCTTGAGAGGAAATGCTACTTTATATGAGAGATTAAAATGGAGTGATGCAGATCCATATGGGGCAGGCAGCAGGCTGGGAAATTGGCTGAGAGGTTGAAGGTTTTAAATGTACGATTGGTCGGAAGGTTTGTTGGAGTTGAGCTGGAGGAGAAAGTGGAAGCTTGGGTGGCATTTGAATTGGATAAGGAGAGAATCTTGGGAATGCAGAAGCTGAACGGGAGTTTGTTCTTGTTTATGCTCCATGATAGAATTGATGTTGGGGGTGTTTGGGGGATAGAAGAATAAGAGCGATGTGGATTGGGCTCTTGGGTATTCCTTTGCATGCGTAGTGCCTTATCACGTTTAAAACGATTGGAGATTTTTGTGGAAAATTCCTAAAAGCTGATGAGAGAGAAATAGGTGGGAGAAAATTGATGTAGCAAGAATCTTAGTGGAATTTGATGTGTGCACTGATGTTCCAAGCTCTGCAACATTTTGGTTAGCAAGAGAAGACTACGAGTTAAGATTTTTTCTGAGGGAGAAGATCATACTTACATCAGGGCAGGTGTCGGAGCTGAGAGGGGAGGCGTTGGCAAGGGAGAATAAGCAGATTGGGGGTTGGAGACTTAGTCTCTGGCTTTCAGCGTTGGTGAATTGGGGAAGGTGAAGCGTTGCTTGGAGGTTGAAGTCAACTNGAGTTGAGGGGCAAGGAGGTAATCTTGGGCGGGGTTGATTCGCTAATTGAGGAGCGCATGGACAAAGGAGGCGAGGTAGCATTGGAAGAGTGTACCTTGGGTGTTTGGGTGACTTAATGAGGGTCTTAATGGGTTGCAGCAGGTCTATATAGGCATTGGAGTTGGATGTGTGACCCACTCCTTAAAGTTGAATCAAAAGATTGGAAATAGCGAAAAACATGATTTAAAATGTCTCTAATTTCCCTAATATTTCTAGGATATATTTCCATTTTCATAGGTAGTGGCATAGAATTTTACCGGAAGATATATTCCCTTTAATAAACACTATCAACACTATGTGGATTATAGGAGATAGTTTCCATGATATATTTCCATTTTGACTTCTATGGGTAGCAACATGAAATTTTACTAGAATCAACATATTTCCCAATTAACACTATTAGTACTATGTGGAGTACAAGAAAAAAGGACAACTTAGTGCACGGGGCTCCCATTAATGCGAGATCTGTGGAGGGAAGATGTTTGCAACCTTAACCCTATAGATAGGTTGCAATGGAGCAACCCAACCGTTGTACCAAGGCCCACACTCACTATGTGGAGTACAAGAGATAGTATTAAACATAAGTTGGTGATATTATTGTATATACGGGGAATAACAATGTTATTGCCCACCTAACTTACATGATTACTGTAATCTATCATAGATACTTCATGTGAGAAGAGAAGAACAGAGCAAGATGTAGGGGTTTGAGTCCTGTTTGTTTAGAGAGAGGACCCTTTTGAACCCTTTTGATATTAATAAAGATAAAAATTACAGAGAGGTCCCTAAGAATAGGAAACTTATAGAAAGACCCCTGCACCTAAAACACATAACAAAAAACACCTTACAACACTCTCCCTCAAGTTGGGTTGTAGATATCATACATACCCAACTTGTTACCATAGTTTTCAAGGTGCCAAAGGTCAGTCTAGGCGATGGGGGGGGGGGGCGCCTAGGCGATGGATTTTTTTTTTTTATGTAGAAAACATAGATCCTAAGGTAATTTCCTAGGTACCATAACCATATTTTCTTAATAATTACTCATAAGAAAAGTATAGATTTCATATTAAACTATAGAAAATCAACATGTTCATGAGAAAAAAAGAAGAAGGAAAAGAAAATTCAAAAAATATAGGGGTTGAACCCTTATTTTTGTTATGGAAAAAGAAGAAAAAGGAAAAGTAGTAGTAGAAGTAGAAAATGTGTTGATTAGACAAAATTTTAAGTTCTTCCTTACTTATTGGTTTATGTTTTAAATTATTTGAGGGTTCAATATAGCATTTAGCAATGTTTGTATTGATTAAACTCTAACAAATAAGAAAATAATAAAAAGAAATTAGTATATAAACACACAAAATGAATATTTAGTTTAATTGTGCCTATTTTATAATTATAATGTCAAAAAATAAAGAATAAAAAAGTATTTTATAATACATAGTACAAAACTACTTAGCAATTAGGTGAGACGAGTCTCAAAGGGCGCCTTGTCACCTAGGTGTTGCCTTGACACCTATGCTTGTTACATAGCTCTTCATGTCATAGGGAAGTCAAACCATTTTTAAACATATCAGCCACTTGTTCCCTAGACAACCAATGGTATACAAATTCAATTTTGTAACAAATGAAGTGCTTGTCAATGTAAATATGTTTGATTTTTTCATTTAGAAGTAGATTGTGAGCAATGCTGATTGCAATCTTGTTGTTATAGTACAATGACATAGGATTTGAATCCCACACACCCAACTTAATGAGCAGATTTTTCAACCATAATAGTTCAACAACTCTTTGAGACAACCTTATACTTTGCTTTTTCACTTGACTTTGTAACCACACATTGTTTTTTTTTACTCATCCAAGAGATCAAATTTCCTCCTACAAAAGTGCAATAACTAGTGGTGGACCATCTGTCATTAGCAAAACTAGCCCACTCAACATCAATATAACCTTCCACCTTGGGATGAGCTTGTTTAGTTAAGAGAAGACCCCTACTGGGTGTCTTTTAAGTAGGATAAAACTCTCTTGGTAGCCTTAAAGTGCGAAGGTCTAGGTGAGTGCATAAACTGATTCAAAACACTCACAACAAATGCAACATCCAGTTTAGTTATGGAAAGGTATAGAAGTCTCCCAATAAGTCTATGATATCGATGAATATTAGATATTGCTTCGACTTCACATTTTCCAAGTTTATTACTTGGACCCACAGGGGTCTTAGTTAATTTACATCCCAACTTCCCAGTGTCCTTCAACAGGTCAATGATATACCTCATTTGAGAAATAAAAATGCCTTTGTTAGACCGAGCAATTTCAATGCCAAAAAAGTATTTTAGAGGACCAAGATCCTTTACTTCCAACCGATAGTTTTATAGTGGTCCAACTCCTTCCACATAGATGTGAGAGAAGAACAATAAGCTGTAAGATATTTATTCCCTTGCTTATAGGCTGA